GAAATAGGCCCTCCGAATAGCCTGCACATCTCCGCGCGCACGCAGCTGAGAAGCTAGAGGGGCTTAGGTCTTAAGAATGGCAGGACTGTGAACTGCAACCGAATGATCTTCACGATGTTTAAATTAGTTTAAACCTCACGCAATGTGGAACACTGTCTTTCAGGCGAAGGCGCTAAGACAATCGTCATCCTGTGATATCGGACTTGTGAACATGAAGTAATTTAGTCAGGCCCGTACACACGGGCAGGCGAAACGCCCTGGCGTTCGCAAGCACGCGTGGGGTTTTCGACAACACAACAAGATCCCTCTGACTTCATGGGAAGAGCACACGACAAATGTGAAGGGCCCCGGAGCGATCAAGAGTACTCTAACCGATTTGTATTTAGATCTGGGGTGGCGTTGGTATAAGCGTTGGGGCGCTCGACTCTGGACCTGTCGGTGTGGAGTTAGGGCCTCGGCCACGCCACCACCGCATCCCATGATGCATAATTTTCACGATTCATGATGCATGATAAAGGCATTTTTATCGAAATGTTCCTGCCAGTCGGTGAGACGTGAAGCCTCGATCATTATATTACGTTCACCATCGCAAAACGAGGCAGGAGGATATGTTACATGTGCCGGTGATCAGATCCGAATTGGGAAGGCGGCGTTTTGTTTTCTCCACCGTGACCGCCCACAACGCACTACCGCAGAATGTTCGCGAACTGGGCCTTCCAGAATTCAAACTCGAGTTGCGCAGTTATATCCTGCAGCGGCAGACCAATGACGGATAGCGACGCCTACTTTAAATGACTTAAGCGAATGTGAGAGTGCGTTCAGCTTATGTGTGCCTGCGCGTGTACGTGTTTGCGCGAGCCTCCCCGACCTACAGTGTTTTATTTCCATGTCACGGGCTCTGTAATAGCCACATTCTGAGTGGAGTGAGCTTATGGCGTGTAATAGACAATAAGTAATGAATATTAAGGTGTAAGTTTCCGTCACCGGCGTAGCCCCTTTATACGTAATGTGGGAACACCTAACCAATGAGCATGGCACCTGAGCGATCGAGGGTGCTGCGGCAGGCCAACAAAGAAGCTTCCGTCAATGTTGCAGGCTCCTCAGAGCGAGCGAGAAGAGCCTAAGACTAAGACTAATATGTCGGGCCCCTGAAAGCTCAGGAGTATCCCGGCAAGCTAGCATACAGTGCCTGGCCAGAGCACAGGACCCTCTGAGGAAAGGGGAATAACTCAAGACAGTGTACATGCATTAATGCTACTGTACATCAAGAGTGCCCGGACGGTTAACAGAAAGGGGCCTGAAAGAGTGCAGGGTCCTCCGCAAATGAGCTTCAGGGAAAGCGTCTTAGATCAATATAAATGCCCCTGCGCATCGGGTAAGTCGGTGCGTCACCTTATATACGTCTCAACGAGTTACGAGCCCTCCGAGCAGTGACATGAACCCTACACCATTATGAAGGGCTTTACCGGAGTGGACCTCAGCATGTTGGCTCCGATCGGCAAGATTGTCCCGGCATGCCACCTAGGGCCCCAACAACAGCGGGGGGCCCTGTTAACAAAGGTAAAGAAATCAAGGGCAACGTGAAAGGCTCCTTAGCAATCGCACTTGCCCTGTACGTGGACATATGGGGCCCCGGGAACAGCGCAGGGACTCTGGACAGCGTAATGAGCCTTAAGAGAAGATCTATCGTCGCCCTTTCAGCCAACGTGGAATTACTTTTGTCCGCTCCTGGGCCCTTCACTTTTGCTTGCGACACTTTGGGTCGCCTGGAAGTCCAAACACGTTCAATTTTGTTACATTTTGTATAAAACTGCACCGTTGAACTGTTCAATTCAAATTAAATTTCATTTTTGTTGCATTTTTGTATAAAAACTGCATCAAACTGGCTGGCTACTGGTCCCTTCGGAGCCTAAGGTGGGGGGGGGGTATGACCCCGTTCCCCCTTAGAGGAGAGAGAGAGAGAGAGAGAGAGAGAGAGAGAGAGAGAGAGAGAGAGAGAGAGAGAGAGAGAGAGGAGGATAGAGGATAGAGAGAGAAGAGAGAGGAGAGAGAGAGAGAGAGAGAGAGAGAGAGATAGAGAGAGCGAGGAGAGAAAGAGAGAGAGAGAGAAGAAGAGAGAGAGAGAGAGAGAGAGGAGAGAGAGAGAGAGAAGAGAGAGAGAGAGAGAGAGAGAGAGAGAGAGGAGAAGAGAGAGAGAGAGGAGAGAGAGAGAGAGAGAGAGAGAGAGAGAGAGAAAGAGAGAGAGAGAGGAGAGGAGAGAGAGAGAGAGAGAGGAGAGAGAGAGAGAGAAGATAGAGAGAGAGAGAGAGAGAGAGAGAGAGAGAGAAGAGAGAGAGAGAGAGAGAGAGAGAGAGAGAGAGAGAGAGAGAGAGAGAGAGAGGAGAGAGAGAGAGAGAGAGAGAGAGAGAGGAGAGAGAGAAAGAGAGAGAATAGAGAGAGAGAGAGAGAGGAGAGAGAGAGAGAGAGAGAGAGAAGAGAGAGAGAGAGAGAGAGAGAGAGAGAGAGAGAGAGAGAGACGAGAAAAGGGCGCAACAAACGACGGGCGAGTGATTTGAGGCTTGCGCGGTCTTATAGAACTGTCAGGCTTTATACGCTTTTCCTCCTGGAACCATTTTGCACTTCTCCCACTCATTCGGTTCATTTGCTTGCCGCCGACAAGCGTTTAATTTTCATATCATAAACAGCCACGCTGGTGCCGTAATGCTTGATGTTAATCCCATGTTATTGTTTTTTGTTATCGCTGTACCCCACCATCCCGCACCGCCCGTCCCCTAGGTGAACTGACGTGGTGATCCGCATATGACAGGTCCATACCGGGGCTGCAGTTGCCACTGATGGGAATCTATATTCGTCCTGATACATTATGCCTCTGCATGTGAGCTTTTGCGTAAGTACATTTGTCACACCAATCATGTACGTAGCCGAGCATTATCATATGAACCTCGCGCATCTGCATTCCACATCGGCTCTCGAACTTTTACGTACGCACTTATGTAAAACGAAATCCCTGACGAACATTTGCGAATTAACTTTGCGTGCTTGCATCATAAATCAGCACATGAACTGGAGCATATTTACTTTTTCATGCGAAATGTTTGAGTATGAACAGATACACACGACCTTTTTCTATACGACGTTTTCCCCACATGAGCATTTTCGTTGCGCGCTTTTCCTGACGAACATTTTACCATGCTAACATTCTTACATGTGAACTTAACCTCATACCAACTTTTTACGATGCAAGTGTTGGACATTACGACTGTACCCTACCTGTACTTGTACCTTATGTTTGTACCTTACGCGCTGTATCCTGACAATCTTATGAATACAAGCTGTGCCTCATAAATTGCTTCCGCACAACATTTATATGTATGCATATATATATATATATATATATATATATATATATATATATATATATATTGTGAAACTTTTATGTTTTGTACTGTATGTAGCAGTTTTTCCCGCAACCCGTTTCGAGCCATCCATCGCCTCGGAGATGGCAATGGTGATAACTTCGTCAGCGACATCACGGTTGCTGGCTAGCATGGCCGCCTGACTGCTTGACGGTACTCTGGCCTCAACTGAGCTCTCGTTGTCCTCGGATCGTACCCTGTACAAGTGTACAGCGAACCTCGCGCAGCGCTGAGACGGCCGAGGCTCCGAAGACGCTAGAGAGCATTACAGATCGTTCACAATTCCCAAGATAGCAAAGGTGCTGCTGAAATGGGGTCGAAGCATGTTAGCACTGCTGCTGTGTTCAATAAACTTATCTAGATAAAGTTAACGGGGATATGGGCTTTGTCGTGCAAAGGCTACACAGTCCAGTGCTTTTAAAGGGTAGGAAATGGGTTAAGAGATCAGTGTTGGCGGATCAGAGAAGCAGAGGGATAGCAGCCTTCCCCAGCCATGCACGCACTTAAAAGCATATCCCCACAGGCCGAGTGGAAAGAAGCAAGGTGGAAATGGTGATTTTCCCCGATCCTAATGCAAAGACTTCTCAGTGAATCCACCTCAAATGTTTTGTGCTTTGAAATAGTCAGAAGCGACCGACAGAAAAAGATGGAGCGTCTTGAAAGTGTAGTATTTCAGGAGCCTTCTGGTTGTAAAATGCATCTAATGTCATCCAATAACCATATGACATGTGTGTTATGGGCCTTGAAATGGCAGGACAGGGCATAATTAATGGGATAAGCCGTTGTAGAGAACTTTAACGGATATACGTAGGCATATTGCAGACTACATATCTGAACTTGGACCTATGTGCTACATCACATGGGGAATGAAGAGAGGCAATTCCATTGTTTCACATGTGGACGTTGCGTGGATTTGTCCCATGCCTATCATACACGTGGTGGCGAGCCCCTATTTGACCTTGACATTTCCATGCGCATTTCCTTATCAGCAGAACTATAGACAGAAAATGTATTTGGTGGTCAATAAAAGGCCCGGTCTGAATTGTCTCTCCAGCACATTTCCGTTATCCGCCGCTATCCAAACACAATTCTACTGAAGGCGCGATCATTGCGTGGGGATCAAAACAAAAGAAGAAATGCTCATCGTACGCTGGCAGCTGATATTCTCTTCAGCTGATCCTTGGTGACGCATGTGTGGGGGTGGCATCGACTGGTATCATTGCCCTGCCGTCGTCTGGCGTTGGGTTGCACTTGTTTTAAAAGTGGTGGGTACGTGGTGGTAGGTCGCAGGAGTGTTACAGCGCATTTCTGTCGTTTTGGTTTGTGGAAGTGTGGGGCAGGGGTATGATGTGCAGCTTAGACACCAAAGTTAATGGCTTGGCTTGCGGCGTGGGGAATTATGATATGCTGTCTATTCCTATATCATTCAGACCCAAGCCGGTATCCCTCCGTACCTTTTTCTGGGAAACGAGTCCGGACTATCTTGAAAAGTTGGGTCTGGGCAATTTTGATTCCATCATATATCTAATTTCATTGGATATGTTGGAATGAGTTGATTGATAGATGAGATAGGCATGCCAAATAGATTGGTGCATACTGCATGGTTCATAAAACAGTCCAGGAGGGTTGGGTACTTAGATTCTTGCCACTCTGAAAATTGAACTTCATTTGGTTTCAATTGGTTGTGTTGAAAACAAAAGTAGTCCACTCAGCTCAAAACCTGTTATCATTTCACTCCTGTGATGTTGGTGGGTTGAGTAACCATAAATTTGCTGCCATTTCATGCATTGCATGCCACTTAAATGCTGAGGTTTTATGCAAGTCCTTTTCTTTAAGGTGTTGCTTTACTAATGTCAGTTCATTTTGGATGGCATTGTTTGGGTATGAAAGGGCTTGTTTAGTGTGTGCAGTAAATGGATATTTAATTGAAAAAGTAGGTTATGTATATTTTCAAAGATCTTCCCCAGAAGGATGGGAATTTAACCTCACGTGAGCCAAATTTGATTTGCTCATATTTCTTACTTGCCTTATGCCTGTTATACCAATCTCATCACTTATGCACGCCATTCCATTTTCAGGCATATGTATTAATAAGGCAAGATATCATGTCCTGGAAGAAGCTAGACATGTGAAATTGAAGAAGTAAACTCTTCTTGTCTAAATCCTTTGTGTGTCTGGGAATGCAGGACATTTGACTTTGTTTTCAAAGTCTGGCTCTGTTCAATCCATTCAGAAACCCTCAGAGAGCTTTTCACTGTAGCATCATGTACAGAAGCTGGCCTCAACAATGGATGGTTTCTCAGGTAAAAGATGTCAACACTGTAATTGCCTACCTTCTGTATCTTCAGACAATCATGTAATATTCTGTTTTACTTTTATGGTGAGATTGAGCATAGCATTGTTTTCACTCCTGGTTTATCTTTTGTTTTCAAACTCTGTTATTGCTTTTTAAATCTGGTAACTGGTTGACCAGGATGGCTGGAGGTTTCAGGATTCCAGAAGTCTGTATTATTTTTTTTTTTAATGGCATGGATAGCTTCCCAAGTATGGCATATGCCACACACTCAATATTTTGGACCTGTAAGTGACTCAAGACCTGCCATGAAAGAGATACCCAGCAGCATGAATGAGGTTATGCTATATAACTGACTTGTAAAGTGACAGTGATATGGCTTGTCTGGTCCCTGTTGCAGAGCATTGGTCTTGCATCCCCACCGCCTGCCATCCCATATATGCGTCCTGGATCTCCATACCACCGGCTGGCCCCCAGGCCATATGGAGAATTGGAGATGATGAACTACCTCTGGCAAAATGTTCTACGGTGAGATGCATCCTTTGCCTCATGGGGTGATTGTGGAACAGTTATGCCGTGAAATTTTGCTTACCTTATAACAGGACTGCTTATAACTGCAAAGAGGAACAGCTGCATAGCATGCCACCTGTATTTGCTATTGTGTGTGAGGCAATGAAACACATTTAAGAAGATATGGCATATTAAGGAGATATGAGATGCTGGGTGTGCCTGGCCTCAGTGTGCGGCCTCTCGCTGGCGCTGGCCACCACTGCCCCTCTCGTGGCTGCTGTTCCCTCGCGCGCCCGACCTCAGTGTGCGACCCCTCGCCGGCACTGGCCGCCACCGCCCCTCTCGTGGCTGCTGTTCCCTCGCGCGCCCGACCTCAGTGTGCGACCCCTCGCCGGCACTGGCCGCCACCGCCCCTCTCGTGGCTGCCTCTGCCTGGCGTGCCCGGTCGTAGTGAGCTGCCTCTCACCGGTGCCCGCCGCCTCTGCAGGCCGCGCCGCCGTCCGCCGCCGTCGACCGCCGGCTGGGAGCGACACGACGACTCGGAGTCGGACGGCGGTTACGGCTCGCGGCCGACGACGCCGACGTCGGCCGGCGCGCGCCGCCAGGGCACCAAGCGCGGCTGCCCGGAGCCAGTCAGCCCGGCGCGCGACCAGCGCCACAAGCGCGGCCGACGCGCCGGCGCGCTCGGCTCGCCCGGCGGCCGCGGCGGCGTCGACACGGTACGGCCGCTGCGGCACGCGGGAGATGGGTAGAGCTGAAGCTGTAAAGGTAAAGAGTGTTCCGCAACCTTGATCAGTTTGTCGAAATTGGCGGGCGTTGCTGTGTGGATATGGAAAGGAGAAAATATACATGAAGTGTTTTGATGTATTTTGTACGAGTGTCCACGTGACATTTCTGCGTCGTGATCGGGGGATTTTCAAGTACCTAAGAGTCATAGGTGAATCAGTAGCCATTGTGTGTGATACTGATGTCTTGTCTGTGCCTTAGGTGTCCGACCAGATCAAGAAGATTTTCGAATCTTGCCGCCAGGATGAAGTTGTGTACAAGAATAAGCTTGTCCTCAGGGATAAAGTACGGGAGGCACTACGGGTATGTGCACGTGGTAGCCATGCGTCAATATGTGGTATGTCTGGCCCTTGTTTGGGGGAGGAGGAAGTAGTTCTACAGTAAATTCTCATCTCGTAGAGCATTTTCATTTTTCGAGATTACTCCCATGCATTTCTTGCATCCAAGCACTGGAGGAGAGTGAAGTGAGTCGCAAGAGGTCATGCGATCATTTGAATGCCGTTTTGTCAGGACCTGTACCAGCGCTGTGAACTGCACCGGTCCACGTAACGCGTGCGCCGTCAGGACCTGTGCCAGCGCTGTGAACTGCACAGGGTCACGTAACACGCGCGCCGTCAGGACCTGTACCAGCGCTGTGAACTGCACATTGTCGGCTCGTCGTGCACGGGCTTCGCGTGCGACACGAGCGACGTCGACATCTGCCTGTTCCTGACCGAGTCGCGGATCGACCAGCAGCACGACGCCACGCGCATCCTGACGGAGGTGGAGCGGCTGCTGGCCAAAGGTCAGCGGAGCGAGCCGTCGCGTGCGCGTCGGCTCCACGCAGCGCCGGCTGCTGTGCGGTGCATGCTGGTATGTCGCGAGTGAATTGCTGGTGCCACCTCTTGAACTTGAGGCCTGGCAGTCTCTGCATCCAGAGTTGATGTCTAAGCAGGCTGCTTTAGTCGTACGTTTTTGACTGAAGTTCTCTGTGCAGTTTACTGTTTTATAACACGCCTATCGGCATTGCTGCTTTTCTGTGGTGAACCGTGTAGTGGAATGGAATAAGCACAGATTGGTACCAAGTCTCTAGAGTGTCTCTTTGGGCGAGGTAGAACACCGTACGGTCGGTCCGAGCAAAGGGGGGGGGGGGGGGGGGGGGGAAGGAGGTTCGGAAGCCTGGTGGCACATAATGCCATCGGATATTAGCATTTGACTGTACTCGGCCGCGCCAGGCGGTACTGCGCCGCGGCTTGAGCGTGCTGCGTGCCGTAATGGACAGTGTGACGCGTGCCGCCCCGCAGACCCGGACTACCGGATGGAGCTGATCCGCGCCAAGGTGCCGATCCTGCGCTTCCTCTCCGTCTCCACCGGCATCCAGGTGGACCTCAACTGCAACAACCTGGTGGGCATCCGCAACACCCACCTGCTGCAGTGCTACTCGGGCGGTGAGTGGTGCCTTCGGCTGGCGCGGTGCGCCAGCCGACCCGCGCCTGGTGCCGCCGGTGAGCCTCTGGCGGAGCGACGGGTGGGACAGGGGCTTCGGGACCCGCTGGCGCCGGCCAGCCCGCGCCAGGTGCCGCTGTTGAGCCTCCGACGGAGCGGCGGGCGGGCCGGGGCTTCGGGACCCGGTGGCGGGTGCCGCTGTTGAGCCCCCAACGGAACGGCGGGCGTAGCGGGGGCTTCGGGACCCACTGGCACCGGCCGACCCGCGCCCGGTGCCGCCGGTGAGCCTCCGGCAGAGCGGCGGGCGGGACGGGGCTTCGGGACCCGCAGGCGCCGCTTGGCTTCGCGGCGCGGCCGGGTCAGCACGGCCCGTCCTGGGCTGGGATCGCTGCTCAGAACCTGCCGGCGCCCGCTGGTGTCGTGCGCGGCGTGCAGTGTGCGGCGACTACGCCGTCCGTGTCGGGCCGGCCGCCCGTCGGCTGATGGCGCCCTCGGCCGGTCTCTGTTGCAGTGGACGAGCGGGTGTGTCCGCTGATCGTCATAGTCAAGCTGTGGGCGCAATCGCACGACATCAACGACGCCTGCCGCGCCACCCTCAGCTCATACTCTCTGGTGCTCATGGTCATACACTTCCTGCAGTGTGAGTACCGCGCGGCAGGTGGCGCCGGACCGGTCGGACTCTGGCGGCGTGCCTCCAGCCGACTGGTGTCGGCGAGGTCAGTTTTGTGGCGACGTCCTCCGCGCGTCGCGTTTTGTTCGTGCCGTGTGCAGCTTCAGGTCTCATGCTCTTGTGTAACTCGTGACGCGTGACATCAACGCGAACTGGCGGGGCCCCGGCGCGTGATATATAAGCACATGATGCTAGTCATTGCCTGCGTGTCTGCTGTGAGAGATGGCATGGTTTCAGAATTATAGTCTTCATAATGCTGCCAGTTTTGGTGATATGTTTCTCGTTGTAGGCTCATCTTTAAGCAAGGCATTGCTACTGGGGCTATATTTTAAGGGGCAAGGCTATTTCCGGATCTGGCCATCAGTTCTTCGCTGCTTCCCGCCGTGATATAACATTTCCCGATCTGTTCACCAGGTGGCGGCACTGTCATACCTTGTCCGCTAGGCAAAAAAGTGGTCGCGTTTTCCTGCCCGTCCGCCAGGTGGCCGAGTGTTTCCTGATCTGGCCGCCAGGTGGCCTTGCCCTTCCGCCGGCAAGCGTCGCCGGCTCCCGGACCCAGTTCTTCATTCACTTAACACCTAGGCTCCATCCATTGAGGAAGCAATGTATGGCGTCAAAGATGTAAACTAGTGACGAACACCTCGCGTTCAAAATGTGGGCATAAGTAGAATCAGCTGATTCAACCCCATGGAGACATACGCCGCGCAGGAATGGCGCTCTCAAACATTCTTCCAATGAACATTACTTGGCAAGTTCTGTGGCTAAAGGCATCATTGGGATCACACTATCCACATGTGATCGAGACGTGCCTAATTGCCGGACAAGCAAGACCGTCAACGGCATATAGACCGTTGCCATGTGTTGCTGCCTTAACATCGATGAATCAGTTGCAAACATATGCACGTACTTCGCCTCTCGTCTGGGTAGGGAATTGGCCTGGGCGTGGACGTCATAGGAAAGGAATGGGCATACCCTGAAGGAAGGTTTAGGCTTCCACTTGCCAAGGAAGAACGGGTTCCCGAAGCACATCCTTCATTGGTAGATGGAAGCTCATGCCCTGTTTCGGGTAAACCCGTTTATGACGCCACGGCCCAGGCCTATTCCCTACTCGGCCGAGAGGTAAACTTAGGGCTTTGTTTACAAGCAAGTTTTCACTGTTGACACACAACGCCTCTTGGTGTTCCGTGCACTGCTGACGTTCTTGTATGTCTGGCAGATATGCGGTCTCAATCTCATGTGGATTTTCGTGCTGCTTGTTCCACCATTTGCTCAATGCTTCTGCACTACATTAATAAGGTATTAAGATGTCTAAAATTGAAGCGAACCACACTGCGCAGTCTGCTGCAACCATTCTTTTCGATCCAAGTTGAACACTGGGAAGTGCATAAACCAATCTGATCCATCGCATCAGATTGTTACGACGTGAAGCGTTATATTTACTTTACATTTGAAGCTGCATAGTTGTCGTTACAAGAGATTTCCACTTTTTCTGAACGCCTCACTTTATCATTTGAAACTGTCGATGGCACTTGGATAGTGTGATCGGCAATGATGTCGGGCCACACACCTTGCCAATAACTGTCCATTGGAATGATATTCAAGTGCGACATTCCTGCGCGGTATATGTCTACATCAGGTTAAATCAGCCGATTCGTTTGTGCCCATATTTTGAATTTCATGCGTTCTTTATTGGCTTATATTTGTGATGCCACCTCAAGGGCAGACACTGGGGCGCGAGCCAATGAGAAACCGGGCCCTGATAAATCGCTGGGCATTCCACAGACTACTTCCCAATCCGTCCGCCAGGCAGCCTCACTGTTTCTCGCTCCGTCCGCCAGGCGGCGTGCGTCCGGCCGTGCTGCCGAACCTGCAGCGGATGTGCAAGGCGAAGTTCCGGCCGGGCCAGCCGATCCGCTCCATCCCCAAGGACGACTGCGTGGCGCACGTGGCGTCGCGCAACACGGACAGCCTGGGCCAGCTGTTCCTCGGCTTCCTGCGCTACTACGCCTACGAGTTCGAGTCAGTGTCGCCCGCCCCGCTGCCGGGCCACTTCAGTCCACCGCTTCATCCTAACTCCGCGCTGCGTCTCGTTGTCAACTGGCTTGCCGCGGCCGTCCGTCGCGAGCCGGCCTCGGCCGCGCTGGCGGCCACCCCACCCGAGCGCCCGCCAACATCCAACGAGCGGTCCTGTGCGGGGAAAGCCCAAGTTGCAGAGCTCTGCCACGAAGGTCGCAGTAGTGTTCCACCACTCACCTCTTCTCTTAACTCCATGGCTCTGGAATGACCAACGCTGTCCGAAAGTGCTCCAATCCAAGCCAGACCAGACCAAGCCAGTCAGTGCTAGTGGAGCCTAGCGTCGGCACTAAAGCGACAGCAACAGTACAGCGTTAGTACGACAGCTAATTTTTCTGCCAGGAGAATACCTGCCATGCAATGTTGCGACACGGGTGCCCCGTGCAAGGATGGCCCTTTTAGTCACTCGGCAGCAATAATTTTATGGGCTGCATGGTGTTGTCTTTGGGTCGCTGTCCCCACATCTGCGTCACGTCCGACCCACGTCTGCCCCACGGTGATGACCTGCCCGGCGCTCCGCCACATGAACCACGGAGGCGACGGACCCCGGAAACCCGTCTGCCGGTTAATACGATACACTTATCACAAGCGTTGGACGAGACGGGAGCCAGAGTGTGTGGGGGGCCTGCTCAGCTCGGATCCGTCCCAAGCAGTCACGGCGGCTGGGTGCGTGGAGAAAGGCGGACTCACTCTGGTCGGGCGCCCTCTGTCGGGGATCGCCGCTGTCTGCTGAGGAGTGGCGGGCGCTGTGGCTGGCTGCCGGCGGCCGTCAGGGCTGGCTGCCGGCGGCCGCCAGGGCTGGCTGCCGGCGGCTGCTAGGGCTGGCTGCCGGTGGCCTCTGGGGCTGGCTGCTGGTGCCGCTGGAGCTGGCTACCGGCGCCGCTGGGACTGGTTTCAGCCAGCAGCAGCCACCGCCGGGCCTGGGTCAGAGGCATGCGCGTGTACGGGGATGGGTCCGGGGTACATGACCGATGTGACGTGTCGTCAGCCGTGGATAGCGCCGTCGGGGCCATCGTGCCGTTGGAATAGAGGTTGATCGGTGTGCTGGCGCTCCCTAGTGCCGAACAGGGGCCTGGGAGGCGGCACACAACCGGCGCCAGGCGCAGCGAGCGCTGGCGGTGTCCGGCTTCGACAATGAATGGACACTTGCCATTGAAACACTTCACGTGTTGCCACCCCGTAGCCCAGTTGATCCGAGTGCCGGACACCTGGCCACCAGTGGCAGACAGCATTGGCTGGTGTTCTAAGATTAGCGTCGGGGTACTGGAATCGTCATAGACCGTTATTTGACACCCGGCTTTGGGAGGGTCATACTGGCACGGGGTGCTAATTTTTCCAGGGGCATGTGGTGCCTGTTGATCGCTCAGTCGAAATTGTCTGTTCAAATGCGATGGCCCCTCTGGTTGTGGAGATCGTGATTTGTGCGACATGCCGTGCTGAGCAAGGACGCTGATTCTGAATATCATCATCCCCCATGTCCCACCTCCTCCCTCAACTGAAGGTGTCATTCTCGCGCAGTGGAAAACGTTCGTGTACATCGCTAGTACCCTAGTAGCGTTTGGTATTTTGGAGCCCAAACATTTGCTCAGGAGAATGATGTTGGAACACTATTCTCGCAGGAGGAAGAAAACGTACCTGATTTTGATACGATTTTGTGTGCAGAGTAGCTCGTTGCCGGGGAGATTGGTTGGGCTTTGAAGCTCGACTTCTCCTGGCTGGTTAGACCGACGGTGGTTCACAAATGTTTACACCATGTGACCTCTCCAAGCCCATGTGGAGACCCCCGCACGCCATTATACGTCCTCTGTCAGTTTCCAGACGCAAGTGGCGTCCGTGAGGACGGCGTCGTATCTCCACAAGTACCAGTGCCGCGCCGTAGTGGCGTACAATAACGCGCCGGGCATGTGGAAGTACGTCTGTGTCGAAGGTAAGACCGCAGGCGAAGGTGTCGGGGTGCTCCGGGGGGGGGGGGGGGGGGGGAGGCGCAGCAGCGGACCGGTCTGGCGAGCTCGGAACGTTGGTAAAGTTTCGCGGTTAAGGCCTCAGCATTGAATTTGCGCGCTGAGTTACATGTTTTGGGATTCGAATGAGGTGGACACAGTGCCCATGACTTGGCGGATGGGTTGCTTTCGCCCCGTGGCACGGCGCTGGAGAGCGGACGTCAACTCCCTCCCAGGAGAGGGTCAGCTCCCTTCAGCGGGACCAATCAAACAGCTGTGAGGTGGCGTGCGTGCGCAAGCATATTGCATTTCCAACCTGTGTAGACGTACGGCGTTAACGTGTTGGCGGTTTTGCGTGGATCACAGAGCGTGACCGCGTCAATTCTGTGCCGCCGTGAACCGAGAACAGCTGCTCACACCGGCTCGGCCCGCGCCGACAGAGCCGTTCGACCTGACCAACACGGCGCGCGCCGTGCACAAGTACGATGCGTTCGAACGCATCCTGCGCGCCTTCGTCGACAGCTACCACGCGCTGGCCAACGCCGGCCACCTGGCCCAGGCGTTTGGCACCAAGGGGCGCGCGCTGTTCGACGATGAGACGTGCAAGGCGTAGCCCGCCCTCCCGACGGTGGCGCCGCCCGGGCGCCCGGGCGGCGGTATCGCGAACTAGATCTACCTGAAATTAGCCGTGCTGCGCGGGAATTTAGCATGTATTATGTGATCCCTGCACCTATTCCGTGCGCGCGGCGCCAGGCGCCTGTGTGACCGAGTGATACCGGCTGCTGTGACGAGAAGGGCCGCGTGAGGGGCGGGGCGTAAGATGACTGCCTGGTGGGGCTGGCACTGAGGGGTATCCGTGGTACAAAGACAAATGTTGGACCATCCACGCGCTGCTGCTGGGCGGTGTTGGCTCCGTGTTGCAGCACGATTGTTTCGTTCTTCCAGGTTTTAGTGTCGATTATCGCTAAATAAAAGAGTTTATGTGGAAAAGACGGTTTTCTGAGGAATGCTATGAATCGTGTCGGGGTTAAGCCTGTGGTAAAACAGGACAGTTGTCTATTATTCCGCGTTGATGCGTCGTCACTTCTGAACATGTATAGAATGAGGATTCTGAGGCCTGAATTGATCATATGGGCTTCTGCACTTGTAACGGCTGGACGCAACCAGAGCCTTGATAAGGGAGTGGCGGGGGGGGGGGGGGGGGGGGGGGGGGGAGGGAGCGGAATCGACAAACGGTCGCCTAATGTTGATCCACCTCTAATAGAAAACAACTTCACCAATCACGGCCCCTGCAGTCGTAATCGCGATCTCATTCGCATCCCCTTGATTTCGAGGGTTGCGAGTTTCCGTTGCATTGGTATGTTAACCTTCTTTTGCTGAACAGAAGCCAAAAGACGTCGGGAAATGCAATGATAGTTTTCTCAAGTCAATAAACTGAAGGAAACTGCATACTGCAAGAATGCTCAACCGGCTGCACGCAATAAACTGTTGATGCTGCTCATTTTACAATGGCTTAATGGACCCATTCGAAGCTGCTCGCATTCGGACTCTTCGCCATAAGTTTTCTGGATTCGACAGAAATGCTGGGGACCCCGTGAACCTAGATTGTAGGTCGAAATGGGGTTAAAAACTTGTATTAACATGGCCAACACGCCCAACCCAGGTTTTTCGGGACATGGTCAAGCTTCGTTTAAGACTGACAAAGGCAGAATATGCAACATAGTTCTGAAGATGCGCGCTCGCAGCCCTCAAGTCTTGCGAACACTGACGCCTGACGTTATAGTCTCTAACGCCGAGGGGTATCGGCTCCGTGGCTAAAACTAAGTGGCGGCCAGCGGGCGGACGAAAATTACGGCGCGTTTGAAAGAAGTGCCTTCGCACGTTTTAGGACATCAAACCGTACGTGTAGGTGTACGTGTGCGTGCTGGCGTGTATTTCACCTGCGCTATTTGTAGATTGATGCTAGGAATGGATTGACATTGAGAGCACCGCCAGCTGGTTCTGGAATCTGTTGGTGAAACTAAACAGCAAAGGTAGAATCTATTTTTGTGCCGCAGAAACTGTTATTCTGTCCAGAGGACTACCTCGAAGTTATACAGGCGACATATACGCCCAAGCTAATCCTGAACGACCATAACTCGCGCCCTGCACCCGCTTCCTGGTGTTAGTCGCGGCGACCAGCTCCGTTAGGTTTTACGGAAACTACAACACCCGTCATTCATATTCTTGCCCCTAAGATTGCGAGCACGCAAGCTCAAAACTTGCGTATATAATTTATTTCACTAATCAATTCTGCAAACGATTGCATGTCCTCAAACAAACATAAGTTGTCTTTTTTCATTTTAGACGTCATTTCGATTCATTATTAAACACTAATGAGACCCCTCATCATTTTCCGGGCAAGAGGCCCCTTGAGTAGAGCGGTAGGGGACACAGGACCCTTCCATTGTCTCATGGTGGTCTCTCATAAGTACTCATATCTCCTTATATTGGCAAACGCCCTGACCAACGCAACAGGCCCTCTTGGCTTTCGGGGCCTCTTCCCTGTCCATGCTCAGCAAATGTTCCCGTGATCAACTCGGGTACTCTTGCCAACACAGGCACTGTGGTCTCCTGACGGACACAGGGGCCCGTCATTGTCTTAGGGGCCCCGATCAATCCAAATTGCGGGCCCCGGCCTTGTTCATACTTGGGAAATGGGCCTTCAGGGTTCAGACTGACATGTAGCCGGCTGCTCGGTGTTTGTGGCCTCTGACGAAAATACAGACCCGCATTATTCTAGGGGGTCCGCAATCGGCGCAGGAGGCCCTCTGCATGGCATTAGAGGTTCCGGCCGCACGGGCTGGGGTCCTTAATGTGCCGGATCGCGAGCCTTTCGGCCCCCAATCGGGGCATTGATCACAGGCCCCGAGAGGCCACTTGGCCCCTCTTCGAAACTCCGCAACCGTTATCCCCGACCGACCTGGGGCCTCTTGCCAACATAGGACCCCTGTTTGGCAATGTGGCCGCTGGCCGATACCGGTAGCCTCTTATTGGAAGGGGCTCCGATCAAGTAAACCGTGGTCCCCAGCCTTATCCCTACTTGGGAAACGGTCCCTCAGAATAATGGTCCCTCCTCGGGCCCCTTGATGTGTCCTCCGGCCAGCACTTCATTTCCTTTGCGTCATTAATTGTATGTGCTGTTGGGCCCTTTGGGGCACTGGGGCCGGCGTGCTGAAAGTGTAGTGGTTAACGCATCTACGTGAGGCACTGCGAGTTTGAGGAACCAGAGGTGCGGGGTTCGACTCTCCGCGCTGTCCGCCCTTCCTTCCATGGTAAGAGGCGGGCGACGCTATATAGCCTCAACAGCTGAGTGCGTCGTAAAACCTCAATGGCTGCCCGGGCACTGGGGTCCAAGGGGGAGGATGCATGTGCCCCACGTGTCTTCGCCCCTGCCTGTGCTACTGGATGACGGCATCACAGGGGCACGAGTCAGGCGCGCACGCATGGTTTTTGTAAAGGGGAGAGCGGTTATGGGTTAATGTTGTTTTTTGGGAGACCTTTCAGAGTTGTGCGCATAATTTGATTGAGCCTTGGGGGAAGTGGGCAGGATCAGTGCGCAGGGCCAATCAGGCTTTACGTCAAAATCTGGTGCTATTTGTCCGCGTCGTCTGGTGGTTGGGATATATATATATATATATATATATATATATATATATATATATAGAGATAAATGTGCACCTGTTTTGAATTGACGTGGCGGAGGGAGGGAACCTTGCTGAAACAATGGAAGGATGGATTGCAGTTTTATATCAGACGTCAATTAACTGCTTAAAAACGTGATTAAACACGCCACTTTCATCGAGGTGTAAGTATGCATACGAGCAGAGGATTTTACCGGGCAATGTAGGCATTCGCGGTCATGGAAGCATCATTTGCGGAAGTGCTAACTTCAAAAGAAAATAATTGGCATTAGGGTCGCCGTTACTGATCCCTCCTTAGGTTTACAAGTGCTTCCCTTATGGTACTGTCTAGTCTGACCTTGAACTTGTATTCATGTATTTGTATTCTTTAATTTGGCTCATACTTTAATTTGAAGCTTCTCTGCACTTGGTTTGGTGAGATCCTAAATAGGGTTCTGGGATGCTGCCATCTGCCCACAGACAAAATAGGGCCAGACAAGCCCGCTGTGTATGTATGCTTGTTTTATTAGCGCGCCTCCCCGTGGGGATGGCGTGCGCACGTTCTCGTGCGTTCTCTCGCCTCGTATGTAGGCACGTTCTCGGTGAGCTTGGAGCACCTAGGTACCTAGTTTTGTCGGCATTGGTTCTCGTTGACTGTGGATACGCCTCTGCCTATGTATGGGGCGCTCTCCTTACCCCACGGTTACGGGTGCCCCTCTACAGGCTGCGGATACGCCTCCGCCTATGTATGGGGCGCTCTCCTCATCCCACGGTTACGAGTGCCCCTTTACAGACTGCGGATACGCCTCTGCCTATGTATGGGGCGCTTTCCTCATCCCACGGCTACGAGTGCCCCTCTACCTGAATCTAGGCGCAAACTACCATTGCATTTGTTGCGCCATTACAACCCAACAACCAGTTACCTAAATCTAGAGGTGGTCGGGGTTTGCTTAGGCTCGGGGCACCTGCAGTGCATTAGGCTGTGCAAGGTCATGTGGTTCAAGTCGTTTTATCAGGTGCCGTTTTAATGCAGCATTGCAATACCAGTGAAATAGAGCCGGCTCCATTTGATAAACGTGAGAACTAAAAATAATATGCTAACTGCGAATATGAGCCGCGTAACACGCATCGAAACCGCGCCAAGAGGCCGACATCCGAGCGTGGCACTGCCACGTGATCTCTACTGTCGGACACGGAGGAACACGAGCCACTGTAAAACGGCAATGAAGTGGTTTGATCAGTGCAGTAGCAGTTGTTCACGTAAGCTCGATAGCGAGTCTTGGGTCTGCCTGCTTTTGGGCGCTTTCAAAGTTGGATAACTACAGTCTCTGGCCTGTATCAACACTGTCCAGGCAATAGATGCGCTAGTATCGACCTGGAAGCGCCAAAAGTGGCCTTTCTCAAAGCCGGTCTCGAACACAACCCGCTCTCGTCAAAACCGGCAAGTAAAATCTCATGAGAACTCTGTAGGCGTGAAAGGCAGCTCGCTGTGACCAATTCGCACCCCAAATTGTGTTTCAGTTAGTTGCGATTACGGTAAGCGAGACAGTAACCCACTGTCAGTTTGCAGATTTTATCGGCTGAAGCGGTAGGTTTGAGAAGATGTTAAGTTACACGCGCAGCCAGGCAATTTCCGGGCAATGCAATCGATGCATTGGCCCACAACTGCCATACCAATGAACGGCGGACATGCAGTGCACTGGCATGACCTGTTCATTCGGACTTCCATACACAGCTAGCTCCAATCGCTTAAGTTTTGATGTCATCCACATGATGGTAGTCTCCTTTTTATCCTAGCTTGACCCCCGCCGGACAAACCACAAGGCATCGCACCGGTGGGACGAAGAGCAGAAAGTTTCCCCAATCTCTTGGCTCAGAGGGACTCTTTCCACCTTTTGCCAGGGGTTGTCTCTCTATAGTTACAATAATGGTGCGGAGTTTTGACTTAAAC